GGCCCCCTTTTGGTTTAAGCCTCAGAGGGCCATAAACCTTAGAGGGCCAGCTGCTTCTCATGTCAGACTCCAAAATGAGTGGAATTACCAGGAGAGGCTGCAAGGTAGGGTGGAGAGGAGATTTCTTTGTGTGTCACTGATGCAGGTCTCCACTTAGAAGTTGTAGGGGCTGTTCTTTTACTGGTAGCACTGAAAAAAAAAGAAAGAAAAAATTCCAGCTGATTCTGACTTTGAAGGATGCAAACCTCTTAGGCCTATAGTAGAGTTCACTACTTTGCCTGGAGGTGACCATCACCATTGCCAGATTCTGCTGGGCCATCAGGAGTCTCAGATATGTAAAACTCCTGCCCATCCCACTGCGGCAAATGATGAGGTGAGACTGGTGTAGTTTTATATGCTGGCCCTAGAAGACATCTCCAGGTAGGGCCACATTCCCAGTGAGCATGGTTTCAGGCCATCTAACAACCTCCTGGCCATGGCTGACTGCACAAGGGATGGATTCCCAACCTCATTTGGGCCCTTGGTCTGTCCTATGTCACATGGAATTAGGGCCATGAGCTTCAGTCTTGGCCTGGCTCTCCTTTAGCAGAGAAACTGTAGACTCACAAGTGGCAAGTGGCTGTAGTTTTCTGCCATGTAGACTAAGAAACAGAACGGTCTGTGGCTAGGTGAGGAACAAGCCTGAGAAGCAGAATGAGGCAGAATGGGGAGCAGGAGTGGAAGCCCACCTGACCTGGCCCACTCTATCCTGCCCTACTCTCCATGCAACAGTCTCTTCACCTTACAATAAATTCCACCCTTTGCCTGAGCTGACTTAAATGGGGCTCTGATTTTGCAACCAAGGGAGTCTAAACTGATACACTGGGAGATGCAGCAGGAACAGTGCTGTTAGAAATAGCAGGTGCTGCTGCAGGAAGTCGTCTGATGGCACCAGTGTCTTGCCTAACACTGGGATCAGGTCACATTTCTCCTTAAAAAGGGACACTGTGTGAGCACAAGTTGACAGCCAATCCATAGATGGATGGTGACCTGCATGGTACTTATTTTCTCTCAGTGTGAAGAAACAACTCCAGAAGGGCCTCTCCCTGAGGACCAGAACTTGGGCTCATTTCACATCCATGGAGTGGTAGGAATTTCTCAAAAGCCGCATGGCTACAAGCCAAGGCCCTGGCTCGCAGGCACAGGCACTGTCCCAGCTCCCCCTAAGCACTCATGTCCGGAGACATGAGATGAGTCTACAGAGGGCAGAGCCTGTGTGGCGTCTACGTCAAGCACTCCCCTGTGGTCCCAACTCACCTGTGCCTGGTCCGTGCCAGGTGTGCCCGGAAGATGGACTGGACAATGGTGATGGCCTCCTCTAGCCCTGGGCTGCCCTCGGCCTGGGCTACGGGGCTTGGGACGGAGGGCATGGGAGAGCTCTGTGGTGTAATAACAGAGGAGAGAAGTGTTTGGTGACCCTCTGCTGGCAACCCTCTGCCAGCTCCCTGAGGGTGGTGGCCTGGGCAGTAGGGAGCCAGGAAGAGCACAAAAGCCTTTTCAAGTCCCCTCCCCATTGCTGTTTAATTAGCAACCTTGTTATGATCAAACTTGAGAGATTCTTACAATAAACATCTCATCTTATTTATAGACAAAGAGGCTGACACAGTATATACGTGTTTTTTTTGTTTGTTTTTGCCTTTTTTTTTTAAGTATATATCTTTATTCATCTTTAAGTTTATGTGTTCACTGAGAGATAGACATGCTACTTGATGTAATAACAGAGGAGAGAAGTGTTTGGTGACCCTCTGCTGGCAACCCTCTGCCAGCTCCCTGAGGGTGGTGGCCTGGGCAGTAGGGAGCCAGGAAGAGCACAAAAGCCTTTTCAAGTCCCCTCCCCATTGCTGTTTAATTAGCAACCTTGTTATGATCAAACTTGAGAGATTCTTACAATAAACATCTCATCTTATTTATAGACAAAGAGGCTGACACAGTATATACGTGTTTTTTTTGTTTTTGCCTTTTTTTTTTAAGTATATATCTTTATTCATCTTTAAGTTTATGTGTTCACTGAGAGATAGACATGCTACTTGATTCTCCAGCCCTCAAGCAATTGGGCCCCTAAAGCTCAATCCATCCGGGGCCTGCACCAGCATCACTACTGCTTGGCTTGCGGGGCTACAGGATGGCGCGGAAGGCACACATGCTGGGCGAGGCAGGACTTGGACACCGACAAGTGCCGATGCTTTTCTTGGTTGGTGAAGTAAGTCTAAGGGAAGAAGAAGTGGAGAGAGAACGCCAAGGCCTGTGTCCAGCCACCTTGATGGTTACCTGATTTGGAAAGCCTGGCATGCTGGGAGATTCTGGGGCACAGGCTTTGCTGGGTAACAGCTTCGCCCGCGCTAAATATCCCCGGAAAGCTGCCTGAAGCACAACAGCCGCCTGGCAGAGAAAGGATGAGGGAGAGAGAAACAGACATTAATTTTCCTGGAAGATGGTGGGGCTAGATTAAGGGAGATTCCACAGGGAAAAGCTGTAAGAGTGGAGGATGACTTCCCTTTCTAGTGCATAATTACAGGAGTATCTAAAATAACATTTCTCTCTTTTACTCACCCCAAATCTCCTACAGAGAGAAAAATATACCAAGCCTCTAGGGAGAAAAAGGCACAGATGCCCAATTCCACAGTAAACCGAATCTTGGCATATAAATGAATCAGTTGTTAAATATAATTATATTTAGCTGCTAATATTAGCCCACATTTTATATGGTTTATATTTTTGTGTTGGCATTTTTTTATTACATGTTGGACTAGTTTATTCTGCTCCTTTTTTAAAAAATAGTTTACCAGAGGGCATGCATGCTTGCAGGAGAGAGACAGAGAAAGAGAGGAAAATTAAGAAAGCACGTCCAAAGGTGGATGGTAATGCCATAATCACTTCTCCATTTCTCCTCCTTTTGGGATTTTGGGCATGCATGCACATGTGCCCAGTGTTTTGTTTTGCTTTTGTTTTTGTTTTTCCAAGCTGTCATGTCTGAGGCTTGAGCTATGCAGTTAGTCATGTGGGATCCAGCCACCTTAACAACCATTCAAAGGGGCTGGCCTGTTTAGTCTATTTTATCTATTTTTCTATAGTCATCTAAAATCAAGCAGGATAGACAAAGATTTATAAAATGATCTGAAGAGGGGCTAGCTTTTGGGATAATGGTTAAGGTGGTTGGACCCGCGTGACTGATCGTGCAGTTCAAACCCAGGACCCAGTGGCTTAAACACAACAGGCACATGTATGCCCAAAATCCCAAAAGGAGGGAGACACAGAGGATATGGGATTACAGAGTAACCATTCCCCACAGGGGCTGTTTTTTCCCTCTCTTCCTCTGTCTTGGCCACACACCCTCTAGTAGAATTAAAAAAAAAAAAGAACTATCATAAGGAAATTATCCTTTGACCTTAACCTTAAATGTTTCTCTTAAGAAATGTGTATAGAGGGAACCAGCAGTTAGCGTAATGGCTATGTCGCTGGACTCCCACGTAGTCGACCGCGGTTCGCGTCCCGGACCCGGTGGCTTAAAACTCACGCCGGGTGCGTGTGTGTGCGTGCCCAAGATCCCGAGAGGAGAATGGAGGAGAAGGGATTGTGGCGTGACCATCCCCCCTGGGGGGTGATTTCTCGCTTTCTGTCTCTAATGTCTCTCTCTGTCTGTCTGGCGAGCGCAC